CACGATTAGGCTTGTTTAGATAATGTGTGCAATGCGGTCTTGCGTCTTCTAGTCATAGAATGAATGATAGTGAACGAACCCTTTAGGATGACTGCTACAGTACTGTGGAGTTTTGAAGATCGTTGTTGTCTTATCAATGATTTGATCCACAAACTGTTGTAATTGTTCGCGGAAGAGTACGTGCGACGTTCCAAGTTCCGCGTCAAGAACGGTTTTTGCCAACGACTAAACCAAAGTAATGAATATTTGCAAGTGATTTGTTCATGCTTGTCAATTATTAGAATAATTCTTAGAAAAATTTGAAAATTCAAGTCAGACCTATAAAAAAATTTTCGGGATTATAAGCCCGCGAAGATTGAGGAAGCATGCGAGAAAAATTTTCAATGCGTGGCTTCGCCAAGCACTTCATTAGAGAAAAATCTTGTTCCATCCCCCTCCTCCGGGAATTTCTGTGTACGCCAGTTCATACATACATTGATCTACTCAAGTACCTGCATATCTTCTTTATTGAGCTCTTCATCATCGTTGAATGGTTGCGTGCTACGGATGTGCTCTAACTGGTGCATAAAGTCCAAAACACTTCCGTCTTTTGCCTCCATCATTGCAGGATCTACATCAAAAAGTGATGAGCAGATTTGATACGCTAGTAAGAGCTAATTTCTCACAATGGAGTACTGAATTTACACTAATTTGACACCCAAGGCAAGGTAAAAGCTAAGCATTAGGAACAAATCAAGAATTCGTACAGACCTAAACCATCTTCCCCAAAGGTGAATTCGACAATATCACCAACCGATGACCGCACAGTTCCATCATAGCTGGCACATAGATCCTTGAAAAACAGGATATAGCGATAATAAACGATGACAAAAAAGTGCGTTGCAAATAGAAAATTAAAAATAAAAAACAAAAAAGTAAAAAATGAATAAAAATTAATCCGGCCTAAGGTTACCTTCAACGACGTGACTTCAGATAGGAAGTGAAACAAAAACGAAATGAAAAAGGCAAAACGTAAGTGAAGAGTGCTACCAGCTAACCTCTAAGCATTTCACCAGACGCCGCTGCATGTAGCCAGTTTCTGCTGTCTTGACAGCTGTATCAACAAGACCTTCGC